GCGTTTTGGAGGATGAAGACACCGTGGTGCAGTTGCCAAAGCAGCCTCTGTGTTTTCACCCCCGGGCAGGACACACACCCACCTGCCTGAGCTGCACCCCTCTGTCATGGGGGGCCTGTCAACCTGGTGCTTTCACACAGCGATGCTCAGGACTCCTGATGGGGCTCCCAGGTGGGATTTTCTCTTATGAATCCTTTCAGAGGAGCTAGATGGGCTGTTCAGGTACGTGAGCTCCTGCTTTGTGTCTCTTTTTTTTCCAGGGCACAGGATGTGCCCAAGTCCATTTCTGCAGCTCTCTTAAACTTGCCTCTGGCTGCAAAACTTCTTTTGACTGGTTAAACTCCCCAGTCCTTTCCTGCTCCTTTTGTGCCTCCCACACTTCAGCATTTTTGTCCTTCTTCTTGCTTTTGATCTTCCATTCTCTTTTTCCCAGATCTCTCAAGCTCTTCCTCACTGTGCCTGGCATTTCCCAGCCTGGAGAGCTGGGGAATAGCACAGCCCCCGGGGATCTGGTGTGTTTATGATAAATCAGGGAAGTGGATAAGCAAGTACTTGCTCTTAACAGCACCTTCTACATGCAGGTGCTTCCTCTTTTGCTCTCTCTCGGGACTGAATATGGCAACAGACCATGTGTGTCTGCAAATCACCACTACCCCCTGCACTTCATCAGTCTGGCTTCACATTTTAGTCATTCAAAAAGAATCAGCCTGATTTAACATCCATTTACCCATCCTGGCTGGCAGAAACAGAAAGAGCCTGACCCCACACCCAGCATTTGGGAGGACACAGGGGAGCAGAAGATGGTCTGCTGAGTTATACCCCGTGGCAGTGCCCAGCCCATTCCCACGCTCCTGCTTCCAGAGGCTGAACCCCTCCAGTTTTAGTAGATGCCAACAGTAAAGCCAGAGTGCAGCCAGAGTGCTGTGAAGCCTTGAGCTCTCTCAGCTCGGGAAAATGCTGGCTACACAAATGGGAGAAGCTGCAGGGCTAGCAAGGGACCCAGGGCTGACAGCTCAGCGTCTCATTACTCATCCTCTCAGCTCTGTCTCACTAGTCCTTTAGCACCTTTGTGGGCTTGGTTTTGATAGCTAAAGAGGGAGTAGGAGAGATGTGACTTAAAACAACAGGATGTCAGCTTCTAGATGGGGTTTCAGGTTTGAGTGAGTGCAGAGCATTTTGACCTGACACTGCACACAGCGGAGCTCGGGGGCATGGACGTGGTTGGGCTGGATCCCAGCCAGCAAAGGATGTTCTAAAAGTCTGTCTGGCTTAAAATGTAATTTTTCTGAGGTTAGACTACTGTTTCTCTTAGTGAAAAGCAGAAGGTAGTCTTGAGATTAAGGCAGGAACTCTGCATTCAGTTCCTAGCTCTAAGGGAGCCTCCTTAGGCAGTGTTGGACAAGCCAAGCAAAACTCCCATGCTTCATCCCCTGAACCTGTGTAAGAAAAACTGTACTGCCTTCTGTTCCTTGTCTTGGCTATTTAGACAGTGAGGACTCAGGGAAGAGAAAGGCTTTCACTCTGTGTTTATACTGTGGCTGGTTCTCCGGGGCTTCAGCCTGTGATATTCCCTCAGCACAAACAGCAAGAAACGTTAAACAAGTTAAAATGTGTATTGCTATGCAAGTTCACAACAACCAAGCCCGGTGAAGCTGTGGTGCCTGGTGTGGTTGGGCACAGGAGCCAGTGTCTCTGAGCATCACCCCATGCTGATGCAATGCCACAAGGCCAGGGGCCCTCCCGTGGTGTTTATTCACTGGTTCTGTGTATCCACGCTCAGCCCATCTTCACCTCCTGCCCTCCAGCCTGCCCAGAACCACCAAGAGGAACTTGTAGGGGAATCAATTAGAGAACAGGGACGATCAAGTCTGCCTTTGCTTTTGGGAGCTGGAGAACAGCGTGTGCTGCCAGCTATGAACTGCCTGGCTTCGCTCAGGGAAGGGGTAGTATGAGACAGGGAGGAGCTCAGCTCTCCTCATCCTTAGGAATGCTGTATTCACGCTGAGCAGATTTATGCACGAGATGTGTTCTCACTAGCAGGGATTGTTTCGCTGCTGCATTTGAGCTCCCAGCACAGGGACTCTGTTTTGAGCAAGCAGTGGGCAGACAGAGCAGAAGGAGAAACATAAAACAAATCAGGTAGTTTGGTTTTATTTCCAAACAGGAACACACAGAACCGTAGGGAGTATGAGAGGGAGAGGGCAGCATATCCTCTTGCTCCAGTATATAAAAGCTAACTTCCTAGGCTGATCCAGACACCTAAGAGTGAAGGCAAAAATGTAAGCTACGTGACTGGTGGGAAGAGAAAGAGCCAGCAGGAAAAATCTATGAAAGCTTTCCATGGTTCAATCAGTCAGAGCCTGCTTCACTGGGGAAACAATCAATTAACCACTTCCACTAGAGCAGCCGCAGACTGTGCTGTTCTGGAGGTACTAAATCTTTGAGTTTATGTGTTCCCAGTTGCACTCCCAGCTTATTTACAACTTCACAGGAACCTTCCTCCTCGCTTTTCTTCACCTCTCCAAGTCCCTCCCAAGGATCTTTCTGTCCGTGTTGATCAGTGAAGAAGAACACTTATGGACTAACAGTTTCCAGCTTCACTGTAAATCTGTATTTCCCTTAAAGAGGCAGCCAAAATAAACAGTTTCCTCCAGGCATCTGGCGGGCATTATGCCTTGAACTGTCCCTCTGATTTCCAGCTGTCAGTGCATTTTGTCTCACTTTGAGGCAGATGGTTTTAGCTTAGGATGTTTTGGCCCAACTGATAATCAAAGAGCCCTGCAGGACACAGATCTGTCCCTGCCCTGAGGAACAAAATGTAGCAGGCAAATGAGGGGCAGATGACACCAAAGCCAAGGGATGATGCTGAGAGCTCTGAGCCCAAGACCCTCTGTGGCAGACAGGAGCAGGACAGAGAAGAGCGTTGTGGAAATGATCTGCTCTCCAAACCACAGTGTCTGCCACCAATGTGCTTTCAAGATGTAGTGAAACAGGAGACATTTAGATGACCACAGCACAAAGTGGAGATTAAATTTCTATTCCCCATTTAGGTTTTTCCTTGCGTTCTTTGAATGAAAAGAAAGCAGCTCTCAGCACTTTTAGGTAGCTCCTGTGCCTGGCAACCTGGAAGCAGATTTTGATTCACAGATGCCTCTTGCTCCTCTGATCAAATGTGCTGGCAGGACCGGTAGACAGGAGCTGACTTAACAGCTTTAATGCACTTAGATTTGTCCCTATAGCTGCTGCTAATGCCTTGATTGGTGCTATTGAAATCTCATCTTAAACATATGGTAATACATTCCTCACTGATTCCCCTGCCTTTCAAAACTCAGACCTGGAGTCATCATTGTCTGTAATAAGTTCATTCTGTTCCTTCTGCTTTACTGCCTGCCTGGCCTAGCTTTGATGAAGTAATTCGTATAACTCACTAACTCCAGAGTAAATTTTGATTAGATTTTGAATTAAATACCATATTTTCTATTGGGAAGCCCTGCAAACTCAGCTTGGCAGATGATATTCATATGACCTCCACTATTCTGGAGGCATCACTGGTAATGAAGACTCTGGATGCCAGGGCTGGGAGGGCACTAATTGGCCTTAATTACCCCAACAAGCCTCACACCTTTGGTCAGGAGGTCTATTAAGCCTCCAACCCCAGGGGCCTTCAGTTTTGGCCTGGGCTGTACTGTTGGTGAGTCTGTCTTAGACCTGCTCTTTAGCTGGTGTTTGGTTTTCCATGGATGGCCTTGGAGTTGGTGTGTTTATTGGACCTGTTGCCGTTCCCCCCATGCCCTGCTCTACCTCCCCTGGCATGGGTTCATTCCAGGCTGTTCCTGGCACCCCTCCCCTGCTCTTGCTTCCTCATCCTGGCAGCCACAAAAATCATAAAGCTCTGGTAGTTTTTTCCAGTAGATAGAAGACTTTTAATGTATTGACTTATTAACTGTTTGATAGAAGAGTACAGGTAATATATTTTGGGGAAGGGTTCTGTTGGTGGGTGATGACAATGACTTTGGGGATGTGGATGGAGGAAAGGAGTGAAAGTATAATGCATGAAATTAAATGCTGTTTTGTGACCTGGTTGGGAACAGCTTACCTGGGGAGTCTGATATGGACAGTGACTGAAATATCTCTTCAGGAATGGGAGGGATGGATCCCCCTCCCTGTCACTGCAGGCTCTGCTCTCTAGGGCCATCCTTGTCCTGGCATTGGTGTCTGTGGGGCTGCACCTTCAATCCCACTGGTGTCACTTAATCTTCCCCCTCTCTTGCGAGAAACCTCCTTAACACCTCAAGGTTGTTTATTGCTGTTTGAGAAGGTAGTCTTGAGATTAAGGCAGGAGCTCTGCATGCAGTTCCAAGCTCCAAGGGAGGTTTTCCTTGTGTAGTGTTGGGACAAGCCAAGCAAAACTCCCATGCTTCATCCCCTGAACTTGTATAAGAAAAATTGTACTGCCTTCTGTTCCTTGTCTTGGCTACTTAGACACCTTGGACTCGGGGAAGAGAAAGGCGTTCACTCTGTGTTTATACTGTGGCTGGTTCTCCGGGGCTTCAGCCTGCGATATTCCCTCAGCACAAACAGCAAGAAATAACGCACTGAGCTCAAAGCCGGGGGGGGGCCTCGCCAAGTTCACAGTCAGTTCCAGATCCCCCCTATAAGCAAACCTACACCTGCCCTACTCTGTGCCGGAGACGGCCCGGGCGAGCCCCGCGGTGCGCCCAGGCCGCGCTCCGTGAGGGGAAGGCTGGGGTCGGCTCCCCCGCTCAGTGAGGGGAACGTTCGGAAGGCTCGGCCCGGTTCCCCCTGCTCGGTGCGAGGAAGGCTCAGCAGGCTCGGGCCGTTCCCCCGGGGCGGGCGGGCAGCGCGGCCAGCCCGGCCCGGCCCGGCCCGCCCCTCCCCTCCGTCGGCATTGGCGGCGGCGCTGGCGGGGCGGGCGGGGGGCGGTGGCGGCGGCGCCCAGAGCCGGCGGGCAGCAGGTGGCTGCGCTCGCTCCGCTCCGCGCTCCCGCCTCGCCTCGCCCGCCGCCTCAGCGCGGCCCCGCCGCCGCCAAGACGCCGCGGGCCGTGCTCCGAGTGAAGAATGGGGCGGCCAAGCTCGCCAAGCCGCCCGCGGCCGCGGGCGAGACCCCCGGCGGCGCCCCCGGACAGGGGCTCTTCATGGAGCGCTCGCAGAGCCGCCTCAGCCTCTCCGCCTCCTTCGAGGCCCTCGCCATCTACTTCCCCTGCATGAACAGCTTCGACGAGGAGGATGCGGGTACGGGGTGGCGGGAGGTGCGGGGAGGGCGCCGGGGGGACGGGGGGGGTCGGTGGTTCCCGGTGTCCGTGTGCCCACCCGCGGGGCCGTGGGCAGGGCAGGGTGGGTGTTCGCCGTGCCGGGCGCTGTCCCCGGCCCCGCGCGGCTCTGCGTGCCGGAGGGGGCTCAGCCTGGCGGGTCCGTGCCGGGCTCGGTACAGGGGAGTGGGTTCCTGCGGAGATAGAAACTGGGAACGCGCTCCAGCCGTGAAAACGCGCTCCTGGTTCTGATCGATAAGGAGCCCTGGGTGTTTGCAAATGGAGCGGCTCATGCTCCATCCTCCGTGTGAATGAAGGGCAGCGCTCGGGCAGGAGGCGTCCATTCTGCTGGGTGGTGTGGCCACCCTGATTTATACACCCTGAGCTCTGGGGTCGCTTGTTAGCACTGTACACCATGCTGCCTTTGGAGAGAGGAATAAAGGGATTCAGCTTAAATGGGGGCGAAGTAAATCCCAAAACAAAAGCCTTTCAGAACGGATGCAGTGATTTTTTTTTTTCTCTTTTTTTTTTTTTTTTTTCCTGTGTCAGAAAGACCTTTCTGACCTCAAAGAGTTGACAGTAGTCATAAAACGAGACCAGGCTCCCAAAAGAGGAGCACTGGTAGGGCACAGCAGAAAGGAATTGGGTTGAATGGGAGAGGAAGGGCAGTGGGTGCTGGAGAAGGTGCCGGGAGTAGAGGGCAGCACAGCCGTGGTGTGGGTAGGGAGGGCGGATGCAGGAGATGATGGAGAGAGGTCGGTGAGCACTTTGTCCATTCCCAGTGGCTCACTGGGCATTGTTGGGTGTTTTTCCCAGCACACACTGTAACAGAGACTGGACCTGTAAGTAAATCTTGTGAGGGGCGAATAATGAAAGTTGGTAACTAAGGTGTATTTTGATGCTGACTGTCATGGTCGCATCCTTCAAAATGCCGGCGTGCTCCTTTGTCTAGTGGCTCATCCCAAGAAGTGCAGGTGCCAGCAGGAATACATCAGCCCCCGGGCTGCTACACCTGTAACGTTGTTGTTTTTAAAGGAGTTGACGTAAGAATGAATTCATCATCTGTGTGATTAACCTGGACTTGTCATCAGCATCGTGCAGGGGTGTCTGGCAGCACATTGCATCCTCCAACAGATGTAGCTTTTAAATTTTTTTGTCTTAAAATTCTACTGGCGGTTTGTTTGCACTTCGTGTTTGGTTTGAATGCTGGGGAGCGTGCAAGACAATAACGGGAGCTTTGGGAAGTCTCGGCGCTGTTGCTTCAGAGATGATTGATAGCGAGACATGCTCGAGTACTAGAACCCGACACAATGCCTGGAACAGCCTTTCGTTCCCTGGTGCCCGGCCCCTCCTGCTCGGAGCAGGGTGATGCTTTGGGTGAATACCTCCTCTTCCAGCGCTTAGGAGAGCGGTTTTGCGCTGAATCGTATTTATTCACACTTAGCGAATGCTCACGCATGAATGTTAATAGGCTGCTCTTAATACAGCACAGGCGCTTGTCTCTGAATTAAATAAATCTACAATTAAGATCTCATTTGCCAGCAGCTTATTAGCGGATCTCACCTCTGAGCTGTCTCGGTGGCGGAGCTGCTCGGGGTGGATTCGGTGCAGTGTTGCTCCTGTATTTTGTGATTTTTGTGCCTGTGCGAGTGTGTTCAGACACGCCTGAGCACCCAGCGAGGGAGAACGTGCACCGCTTTCTATTTCTGGTGTTAAAACTACACGCGTATAATTTTCTCTTCCACGGCATCTATTTTCTTGAGAAACCGTAAAAGACATGCTGAGATGGTGCCAGATAAGATCCTGTGTTATTCATACCCGTGCACGGTCCCGGAATTGTGAGAGATTCTGACCAGTTTGGGTTGCAGCGTGATTTCTGTCAAAAAGAAATGGATCTTGATAGCTCATTCAGGGAGATGAATACTGCACTTGGCAAGATGTTCTCCGTAGGAGATGGTGGGAAAAAAATGAAATTGATCCCAGGAGCACTGACAAAGTAAACAATCCTATTTCAAACAGACACATCATCCATTTTGTCTCAGGCTGAGGACCACATCTTTAAGGCAATAGTCATCCTACAGAAAAAGGAGAGGAGCTGATAAATGGCAAGCTTAAAAGAAACTTGACATTTTTCTCTGAAGTAGGAGAACAGCCTGATGAGAGTTTAAATCTACAAACAATAAAATGTCTTGAGGTGTTTCACTGAAGTTACTATGGGAGGGTCGTATCGAAGGAGTGTAAAAGGAAATTTATGGAAGTGCTGAGAGCCCTGGCAGTGTGGAAACATGTCTGGTTATATCTGAGCTATGCCAGTGATACCTCTGGGTTCCAGTATTTCCCCCTTCAAGTCTGGAAAAATGGCTTATAGGGATATTTCATTTTCTGCCAAAGTCCTTTTGTTTTTCTTTTCTGCCTACCTTCTGGACTTTATGCGAGAAGACTCTTCTCACCTTCCTCAACTCTTCCTCCAGTGTGTCTGGACTGATGTCTGGGCAGTGAACTGGGTGCAGATGATGTCTGAGTGTGCAGAAGCAGGCAGGAAAGCAACAGGACTTGGAGCGAGAAACAGGATCCCATTTGGGTATTTCCAGAGCATGAGGGTGATGGAGATTCAGGTGTGTCATGTGGCACATGGGGCCACGTCCCTGTCCCTCCAGAGATGGATGTGGACTTGCACTCTGATGTCCTAATACCCTTTTTGTTCCTCAGCCATGCAAACACTGTTCACCAGGAAGTTGCAGTGGGGCTTTGAAATAGTTGAAATTACCATCTGCACTCAGCAGTGTAAGAATTCTGGGTTAATAACTCTCTTGATCTCGGCATGGTAATGCTGCTGGCCTTCCTGCTGGCTGAGTGCCACTGTCTTTGCTCCGCTGAGGTCCCCAGCAATGTCAGTGAAGTTAAGGATTTTTAAGCTGCAGTTATTATCAGAATAATTGTTGGTTTTATGTGAATGTCTATCCTCCATTTCAGTTATGGAGTAGCGGACTGAGGAGGTAAAAATCAATCGTGCGCTCTTTGTGGGCACATTTCTAGAATGCCTAGAATGTTCTAACAGTGTGAACAAAACCTTAGCTGTCCTGTGGACCTGCCATACTCTTGGTTGTGGCTGGAATCAGCCATTCAGGATGCTGGTATTCCCATGGGAACGTGTTGGAAGGGACCAAACTTCAGAGGACTGAACTGCCAAGTGCATGTGGGTTAATAGCAGGCTGTTGAGGATCCCTGATGACTGTGGGCACCTGCCTTGTGGGCAGCTGGTGAGTCCTGGGTGCAACTCACAATTAAAACAGGGATTGGGGTGTATGAAATCCCCCTTTGCTGACAAGGACCTTAGCACAGCCCAGTCCAAGGTGAAGGACATCCTTAAGGTTAATGGGAATGTGCTTGCTGGTGTGGAGGAGAACCAGCTTGCTCCTTGTGCAGAACATGAAGTTTGGAAAGCTGGCTAAAGCGGGACAGAAAGTGAGGAATTTGGTAGAGAGCAACACCAACTGACTTGGAGCTGCACATGGAAAGGGAGCAAGCTTTGGGCAGGAGAGAGGAGGTGGTTTGAGCAGCAGGACAGGCAGTGTAATGGTGCTGGACCTGCTGGAAGTTGGGAAGCCAGAAGCAGTCCCCAGCTCCGAGGAGGTGAGAACGTCCAGAGAAGGACCCTGCGTACTACAGAGGACAAGGACTAAAGAAGCAGAGGCAGGAAAATGCCAACAATCACTGGGGCAATGGGGTTTCCTTCAGCCTCTGTGCCTAAACTGCAGGATCCAGGAGCACTTCTCAGGTCTGGATGTGTGCTCCAGCTGTGCTGAGGCTTAAGAGGGTAAGACACAGCAATGCACCAGCTCCTTTGATCCTGCATCTTGGTTTGCTCAGGAAGGGCACCTGTTTGCACCAGCAAAAGGCATCTGATGAAGGCCTTGACAGGGGTGCAGATTTGGATGTTTGGGACTGCAGCCATGGGTCACGTTGCAGATGCAGCTCCCCGGAATTCAGATCCAATATCAGCATCTGCACGAGGGGAAGCTCCTGTTCCTGACACACCCAGGTGTGAGGAGCAGGGCTGCTTCCATCGGGGAGCTGCGAGGGATGTGCAGGGTCCCCTGGATCACGACCCCAGCGCAAGGACTGTCCAGCTGGGCAGACCTCTGCCCTGGCAGCAAGATAGCAGAATCAAATCGTGTCTCAGCCAGCTGGAACCAAGTGTCTGGCAGAGAGAAAATGGTTTCCAAAGTCAAAATGTCTCCTAGATACTGACAGTAAGCCTTCCTTGTGTCAGCTGCTAATTCAGGAAAGAGTTGAATTAGAGATAAAATTCAGCCCAGGCTGCTGCTTTCACACGCTATCAAGTGCTGGCAGAGCCCCTGTGTTACGATCAATTCTTTAAAGAGAAAGTGTGTGAAATATTAATTTAATGGATTGATTAAAAACATTTAAAACATTGGAGCGGGAGAGCCTGCTGTGGACGCTTAGATTAGTTTAGAGTACTCTTTTGTTTGGGCTTTATCTATTGAACTTCTCATAATTTTAAACACTGACCTTCTCTATAATTTAAAACATTAAGGTGTCACAAAGTTATTAAATAGAGCGAGCTCCTATATGTGTTTTCATGTTGCCATGGATATTTCTCAGTTGCAGCACTGTATTGGGGTACATATTTTTAAAGAAAATGATGATTCAAGTCTTTACTAGTCCATTTGCATGTTGGTGTTTTTTTTTTTAAATGTAGACCAAGGGTGTTAAGTCTCTTTGGTGTTTGGTTTTGCCTCATCTGAAGTTACCTTTGAAGCTCTGTCAGCCTCTAATGGGTTTTGTTAGTTGTTTGTTAGGGAGGTAACCATGCTCACATGGCAGACCTAGAGGGGACAGGGGAAATTAGCTGTACACCTGCAATGTCAGCTGTTTTTCTTATCAATCTCTTACAAATGAAATGACAGTTCAACCCCATAACCCTGCAAAGACACAGACCCCAGAACTCCCCTGATAGTG